CCCCCCGCCGGCCCCGTCTGAAACGATCCTCATTTTGAAACAATGCAGCATATTACATTGCACCATCGCAGCATTACAACATTGCATCGCAGCAAATTGCAACATCATTACATTGCAGAACTGCAGCTATAAAACATTGAACGACAGCAGAATTGCAGCGTCACAACATTGCAGCGCCGCAAACTGCAACACCGCAACATTGCAAAACTGCAGCTATGAAACATTGAACGATTGCAAGATTGCAGCGCTGCAAATTGCAACATCACGACATTGCAAAACTGCAGCCATGAAACATGGAAGAATTGCAGCATTACGACATTGCGTCGAAAGCGCCGCACCCTCCCCCTCCCACAACTCGCCTGTGCCGAAACGAACGACGTTGAAGGTGGCTCCATCTGGTAGATGCTTCAGCAGCAGCGCGGCGACCTTCTTCAGATGCGTCGCCGCGGCAACCATCGAGTTCGACAGGTCGAGCAGCAGAACGATGTCGAGCGCCGTCGCCGTGGCGACCGCCTCCTCAAACTCCGGGAAGAACGTCAGCATGCACGCCTGCCGACGACACCGAGAGGTCAAGGTCGTGACAGTGAGGTCGGCACTGGGGCAGCGGGTCAAGGTCGCGATAGTGAGGTCGGTACTGGGGCAGCGGGGTTAAGGTCGTGACAGTGAGGTCGGCACTGGGGAAGTGGGTCAAGGTCGCAACAGTGAGGTCGGCACTGGGGCAGCGGGTCAAGGTCGCGACAATGAGGTTGGCACTGGGGCAGCAGGTCAAGGTCATGACAGTGAGGTCGACACTGGGGCAGCGGGTCAAGGTCGCGACAGTGAGGTCGGCACTGGGGCAGCGGGTCAAGGTCACGACAGTGAGGTTGACACTGGGGCAGCGGGTCAAGGTCGTGAAGGTGAGGTCGGCACTGGGGCAGCGGGTCAAGGTCACGACAGTGAGGTCGGCACTGGGGCAGCGGGTCAAGGTCGCGACAGAAGCCGCATTGTGCTGGCGGCAGGACGAGTAAAATTAACGGGTGGAGTTTACCTGGTGGGAATATGATTGATATTTCTACGAAGACTAAATAATTAAAATTTTATTTTTTATAAATTTAGCTTCCAAATTCGTTAGATTTAGGATGAAATTAGGGATAGCTATAGTATTAGTTGATACAATCGCCTAAACAGGCGCGTAGCCAGGGGGGGGCGGTGGGCGGCGCGTCGCCCCCCCCCAAAAACGGCTCAAATATTACCCAAAATGGCTTAAATATTTCAAAATTTTCTGGGGGGGCATGCCCCAGACCCCCTAGCACTGCATGGCTACGGCACGTGCCAACGTACGGTTTGTCAAATTTGCATGGCGTGCCATGTGTAGATATGCATGTATAAATAGTATGTACGTGTGATGTGTGTGTGTGTGCGGTGCGTGCGTGCGTGCGTGCGTGCGTGCTTGTCTTGGGCGTGCGTGGCGCTGCAGTGCGTGCGTGCGTGACTGCACTCGTGTTCACTGATGTGATTGCGGTCGTCGTGTGTGTGTAGTGTGTGTGCAGTGCGTGCGCGTGCGCTGCGTGCGTGCGTCCGTGCGTGCGTTGCGTGCGTGCGTGC